AAGCATCATGCAGACACTTTATTTCCTTAGGCAAAGTGTCAAAAGTTGAGGAAAAATGTATCCAACAAGATAAACCTAATTTAAACAAAATCAAAACCAGATTTTTTAAAAATGATCAAATTCCTATCATCAACATTCAATCTGCATTTTATTTTGCCCATAAAGAAATATCTCATACTAAAACTAGGAAGACATTTCTTTCCCAAATCTTAAGGCAATAAATCAATTTTTCTGAATGTATTTTTAATATCACAGTTTCATAAATCAAACACATATACACAGCTTTTATCCCACTTGGAAGATCATACACAATAAAATCTGTGCAGCTATTCATACATGGGTACAGTACAAAGTCTCGGCCTGATAGCGTCTACCCAGAATTTTCTTATTTTAATCAAGGAAAAGGAATTATACCTCATCTGCCAGTGAATTTCTTCCATCTAAAATGCTTTCTGAGCAAACATTAGAAGAACCTTGTTTCAAAAAAGAAATGTTATGAAGTACAAAACTTCCATTAGTTATTCTACTTTTAAGTAATCTTTCTGGCCTGCTCCCTGCTATTCTCTGTACAATATATAGATCAAAGCACACAGTGCTTTCGGATATCTATGGTTTTATTTCCTTCAACTATTATTTGAATTATTTGTTTGTATTTATCTTCCCATCAGTCTTACTATTATGCTGCCAAACTGGATTGTAAACTCTTCAAGGACAGGGTCTCAAACTCATGATCTTATATAGTGTGGTATCCACTATAATTCCCAATGTGATATGTCTGGATTCAATTTGGGAAGGTCGTCCAACCTACATTGACCCTCATTTTCTGGAAATTTCACTTGTTAAAATCTGCCTCTCACTTCCACTAGTGCACACAACTGTGATGCAGAAACCTGTCTCTCATAGTCAAGTGGGTACCTTACTCAAGCTAGAAAAATCAGATACTTTGCCCTCAGAAATTGGACATTTCTAACTGAGGAGTTGGTTTCTGAAAATCTTTAAAACCAAGTGAGTTTAGCCTCAGTGTTTTAGATTAAAAAGTCTGTGAGATTCCTGGATTTTCATTCTTGGTTGTTTACCTGCTTCTTGGATTCTTCACCATGCCTCAACATAATTCTGTAATTTTTCCTTTTGAGAAGCTGGCTGGAGTTGTATTCCCTTTGTTTTTAGTTATGTTTTCAGTTATAATTCTAAGAAACTTAACTAATAAATATGTATTAACTATAATTGGCATCATAAAGGAGTTAGAATCTAACCTGAGGGTTAGATTCTTGCATTCAAAGTATAGTTTTCGCAACAAATTTTAAGAAAAAAAAAAAAAACAACAACAATAATTTCTTATCAAACCCCTTTCCATAAATGATAACAATACCCACCTCACTATGTATATGTATTCTGTGAGCAAACCCATTATTAAGAAAGCATCTCTATGAATTGCAGCAAATTTTTATTACATGCATTTAACCAAAATATTCAATCTGATTAAAGCATATTTGAAGAATCCTATTCACCCTTGTGCCAAGCTTTATTTATCTTGGGATAGGTATGCAAGGTTTTGTTGCTGCTGTTGTTCCTAGGAAGAATTCTCAAATCAACTTCAAAATAAAGCTGTCTTTTGAAAATGATTTATTGTTCCTAAATTCATTTCATTTTCTATAATATATCATGAAATGTATTTGTGATTAGGAAGAGTCAATATCCCATTAGACATTATATATACCTCCACAATATCTTAAAAAGTAAAGACTTATCTTTTCCATTAGTGAGTGAGAAAAAAAAAACCAATCATTAAGAAGTCATAAGATTCTGGGATCTGGGGGACTAAGACAGTTTGAGAGAGCATCTTTCACGACAAGGATTATTTCTTTTTTTAAAAAGCACACAGTCTACTTGGTAGAAAAGTTATTCACTCATAAGGAAGCTCAAAAGGTAGAAAACATTTATTTATAAATCTATTTCTTGAACTCTTGTTTTTGTTTCTTAAATTAAGTTATTGAAATTGGTATTAAGAAATAAAAAGAGGCTGGCACTGTGGTTCACACCTGTAATATCAGCACTTTGGGAGGACAAGGCGGGTGGATCACCTGAGGTCAGGAGCTGGAGACAAGCTTGGCTAACATGATGAAACCCTATCTCTATTGAAAATACAAAAATTAGGCAGGCATGGTGGTGGGTGCTTGTAATCTCAGCTACTTGGGAGGTTGAGTCAAGAGAATCGCTGCAACCCAGAAGGTGGAGGTTGCAGTGAGCCGAGATCGTGCCATTGCACTCTAGCCCAGCCGACAACAGTGGGACTCCATCTTAAAAAAAAAAAAAAAAATATATATATATATATATATATATATATATATATATAAAATAAATATATATATATAATATAATATTTCATACACAGTCACTAAGGTTACCACTCCATGGAAGAAAATGTTTGACATGTATGTATAAGTTACATATTTAGAATCTTAACAATATAAATAGAAGAGGCATTTTAATGCCTAGTAGTTTCCTGGAAAACAACTTACTATCCAGCCTAGTGGTTAAAATCAAAAGCCTTAAATTCCCCCACCAACATGTGGCTATGTTAAAATTTTAACAATCAGAACACCTAATATGCAGTCTGGGTAGAAGGACTGGTTGTAGGATACTAGATTGTTATGCTAAAACTGTATCATATTTCTTCAAAACAATGCATTGTGACTAAATGATCGGCCACAGTGCCTTTGGCAACTGTTCCTCTGAAGTTCAACTTAGAAATGGAAAATGAATGAAGCTTGTTAACCACTGATTGGTCATGACTCACTCTAATCTTGCCAAGGAAAGATCTGCTACCAGGTTTCCCATAATCTTAGGTTTTGTCATCCTAATTCCTTTCAAACAAAAGGTTTTATTATTTGAAAGAACATTAGAATAAAATTCCTTCTGAGATTACTCTACATTTTCTTTTCATAAGCCCCAAATAATAGCACACCAGGGTAAGAACGGCAGCCTAATATATTCACCACACATCTGACCACTGATTACCTTTTATTTAGAGAAATATCCTGGAGATCAGGTATGGGTTTCTTACAGCCATGTGACAAAATAAAAAAAACTTTGTTCTGGGAGCAACACTCCTTTAGTGACTCGTGGGTGATCTTGAGGATGTCATTTCAATTAACTGAGGCTCGGTGTTTGCATCCAACATATGGCTATGCAAACTCTATATTGTTCACGAACTCAGTGATTCAATTTGAAAAGGAATGTCTACTAAAACTGATGGCTGACTTTATCTTTACAAAAGAAAAGACAAACAATACCAAAGAAATTGCTACTCCCCTCTCTTGGAATATATAATTCATTTTACATGGCATTTGCTCTTAATGCCTGAAAGTGGGGCTCAAAGAAACAAACCAAGTGGATAAGAATATGCCCATGTTTTATTTCATGTAACCAGCACTCACTATAGTGGCCGCTGACTCTTCTTTTCTGGACCACAAAAAGGAGTTTATACCGTTAGCATAAGAGAGTTAAACAACGAGGCTTCATGATTTTATCATTTGGTAAAGCTGCCAGAAGGAGTCTGAAATCTCAAACTATCAATGAGTAGGAGAACAGAAAATTGTCTTACATTTTAAAAAAGAGTATGGAAAACTGGAAAAGAAAATAAGGAAGAACGTAGATAAAGAAAGCAAAGCCAAGAGGAAGTAATAGGGTTTCCAGTAGTACATAGCATGTCAAAAATATCAGGGTCTCAGTCAGACTTTTTTAATTAATTTTTTTTTCTTAGAGGAAAAATAGGATAAAATTAGTAACGTTTTTATTATATTATTTTTTCTCAACATTTGTCTATGATTCGTAAAGGAAAAATAAAATATCACTGACCAAAAGCCAGAATCTGGTCTTCTAAACAGTATTTGACCCTGGAAAGTGATGCATGCTTGTCACATTTAGTCTATTACATAATTCTAACTTCGTGTAAAAATACAAACATATATGGCTGAACAAAGCCTTAGCAAGGCAGGACTGTGATTCAAATTGTCCTTTTCATTCAACACCTTCTGGTGAGTAGAACTAGCCAGGAGCAATGCAGGCTGGGATTAAGAAACAAGACCAGCTGTCCAATGGAGTCAGGCTCTATGAAACTAGTGGCATTTTCTCTGGGAAGTAATTGAAGTAAACAAGAAAGTTATCATTGTTTCAGTTCAGAAAATGGAGAAAACACATTTTGAGAAGTGAGAAAATAGTATGAATTGATTAAAAAAAAATAGAAGAGACATTCTGGTAAGGGCAAAGGAATGAGCTGATAATTTAAGACATTTTATAAGAAATATTTTTGTGGATTTTATTATGTAGTTTTCTTTGGTTTGTTTTTCAGTTTCTTCTAACCTATCTGCACTTTTAGGAATGAAGTGATTATTACTAACGTGTCTAATAGCCAATTTAGTTAATGTAACCAATTTATTTAATAATTGTAACTAACATGCATTTATATACATTGTAAATTACAATCTTTAATTCTCACTGAAAACATGTTCTAGTGAATAGAGATTGTATTAGTCGGCTAGGAAAACCATAACAAAACGCCACAGACCGCATGGCTGAAACAACAGAAATTTTCTCACAGTCATGGAGCCTGGAATTCTAAGATCAAGAGGCCAGCAGGGTTGGTTTTTCTTGAGATCAGCCTCCCTTGTGTGCTCAAGGTTGCCTTCTTGTTAGGTCCTCATATATAGCCTTTCCTCTCTGTGTGGGCACATTCCTGGTGTCTCTCTCTCTTTTTATAAGGACATGGGGCATATTGGATTAGGGCTCCACTCTTAGGACCTCATTCATTTATCCTTAATTACCTCTTTAAAGACTCTTTCCAAATATAGTCATGTTAGGGGTTAAGGTTTCGACACAGGAATTTTAGGACACAATTCAGTTTATATTAAGCCTACAATAACTATAAAAACTTCTAATGCATTTCCTTGTTATAAAGAGATTCCTTGTTCCTTATTCATCCATCTCTTTAAAATACTTACCACTGGGTGCGGTGGCTCAGGCCTGTAATCCCAGCACTTTAGGAGGCCAAGGTGGGTGGATCACGAGGTCAGGAGTTTGATACTAGTCTGGTCAGCATAGTGAAACCCTGTTTCTACTAAAAATACAAAAAATTAGCCAGGTGTGGTGATGAACACCTGTAATCCTAGTTAATCGGGAGGCTGAGGCAGGAGAATTGTGTAAGCCTGGGAGGTGGAGGAGCTGAGATGAAGCCTTTGCACTCTGGCAGGGGTGACATTGTGAGACCCCATCTCAAATAAATAAATTAATAAATAAAAATAAATAAAAGAGTTATCACTATAACTTAAGTTTTAGCTTCTCTTTTAATGAGAATAATGCACCCAGATTCATCAGACTATTTTTAGGAAGTGTATTTTTTAAAATTTCAAATATCAAATAAGATCTCGACCAAACCAAAATTGTAAACAGCAAATTTAGCACAAAAACCAAGAACACTGTTTATTTTGGTATACTATTGAACTAGCTCACTGATTTAATCAAACTATACTTACTTGCTAGTGCAGTGACAGAATTTTAGAATAATGTCTTTGAAGAAGTGTCTACATATCACTATTAGAAAATTTACCTGAAGTTTGGAAACAAGCAATAGATGACTAGGTGCTCTTTTGTTAATTTTCTATTTACTTTTCAAAATGTACAAGTCTTTAGGAACACAAGCTAATGTATTTTTCTCAGGTAAAGATGCAAATCATTTCTCTCCAATGAAGAGATAACTCTGAAAGTTACAATTTATTGCCCAGAAAGATATGAACTAGTTTTATATCTAACCAAAGAGTCTTACCCTAATATTTTTTCTTGAAATTACCTCTATAACTAGCTCATCAAATGTTCTTAGAACGGATTTTAACTTTTCTGATTCATTCATTAATTAATGGGTTAAATAAAATCTTTGACACATGTCTATTTAATATTTGCCTCAGAGGCACAGATTAACCTTCCTGAAAATAATACTTAAGCATAACCAATAAACACATATTCAATGATTAATATCTTAAATTGGCATATTATAATAATCTAATCTGGAAATCGAATCATTAATAGAGACTACAATATCAAATGATTTATAGTTTAATTTTAAAATTACTTGTTATGTTTTTAGGAAAAAATGGAAAATCAAAACTTTAAAAAAAGTACCTGGAGCATTAAAAAATATATTTTCTATTATTTCTATGTTTACTTATTGTAAACTTATACAGTAAAAGATTAGGTATATTTCTAAATTTATTGTTTACCATTGTCATTTAATATCCACATGTTAATTCTGTATGTAGGCATCGTGAATACATATTTATAAAGAGAAAGAAGGGAAATTAGTATGATTTTAATCTATGACTATTTATACTAAAGCAAGTCATCTCTAACTTAATAGGCTTTAAACTTCCTTTACTAATTTGGCTAGAGTCCCACATTGACTCTAAGTGTTTTGTCTGGGAAGAAGCAGCTTAATGGTTTTTCTCCCAAAGAAATTTGGCCTAGTGCCGTGAAAGGAAAGAAACTGGCTAGGTGGGATTGCTGGTTTATGAAAAGTTACATGCAGGTAGGATCCTTTTGTTAGAAACTTATTGGGTCAATTCTTATGCTTCTTCAGTATTCAAGGTCAGGAAGCTTTTTCCATTGGGAAGACTTCCTTGCCTACGAGCATTAGCTAATTTAGATGCCTCTGAACTCCTATGCCATCCTTTAATTGCACTTAATTTCATATGCATTTCGTATGTTTTATGATTCTGCCTCCTTCTTTATTCCATGAGCTCAATGAAAAGAGAAATTGCAATGTTTATCATGCAGCTAATTTAGTGTTTGACATCTACATACTAAGTAAATAAACCGGTATAAAATATATTTGATCAGAGGAACTAACTAACTTGATGTAAAAACTTGAATATGGCCTTTTTCCTTGGCGTTTAGTGCTGAGGCTGCAGACAACATGCGTTTATTAAAAATTCAAGAAAAGTCTAAAAAAAACTTTTAAAAATCACCCCTAAAATTTCCCCCAAATCAGCATCTACTCCGCCAGAGACTTACTGGTTTTTCTTCCTCTTTTATAAAACAATCCGGTGAAGCAGCCAAGACCGACCCCACTTGCGTCCCTGCAGCAGCCTCAAGGAGGAACCAAGAAACAGAGGCCTTCCAGCCGCCGGAACCAGTCGCCGCCACCCTCGCTCCCCGCTGGCAGCTGACAGCCGGCAGCCAGCGGCGGCCAAGCGACCTCGCTCTGTGCACGGTGAGTCATTTCCGATTCGGTTGATTTTTGTCCCTCAGCGCGTGCCCTTGCTTCCTGTCCCCCTGTTCCTGGACCCCGGCCTGGCAGTCGCTCTCCTCTCACTCAGCGTCGCGGCCTGTGGCCCTAGAGGCAGCCGTGCAACGATGAACCCCAGCACCCCCAGGTACCCCATGGCCTCGCTGTACATAGGAGACCTGCACCCCGATGTGACCGAAGAGATGCCCCATGAGAAATTCAGCCCGGGCCCATCTGCGCCATCTGGGTCTGCAGGGACCTGATCACCCGCCGCTCCCTGAGCTACGCCTAAGTGAGCTTCCTTCAGAGCGTGCTCTGGCCGCCATGAACTTTGATGTTATAAAGAGCAAGCCAGTACATGTCCTGTGGTCTCAGTGCGATACATCACTGCACAAAAGTGGAATAGGCAACGTATTCATTTAGAATCAGGACAAATTCGTTTAGAAAGCACTGTGTGATGCATTTTCTGCTTCTGGTAACATCTTTTCCTGTAAGGTAGTTTGTGATGAAAATGGTTCCAAGGACTGTGGATCCGTACATTTTGAGACACAAGAAGCAGCTGAAGGAGCTATTGAAAAAGTGGATGGCATGATCCTAAATGGTTTCGACATATTTGTTGGACGGTTTTTAGTCTCCTAAAGAAAAAGAAGCAGAACTTGGAGCCCTAGCCCCAAGTTCAAGGTTGGACCTGCCTCAAGTATGAAAGTAATGACTGATGAAGGTGGAAAATCCAAAGGATTTGAATTTGTAAGCTTTGAAAGGAATGAAGATGCACAGACAGCTATGGATGAGATAAATGGAGAGGAGTTCAGTGGAAATTAAATATATGTTGGACAAGCTCAAAAACAGTGGAAGGGCAGACAGAACTTAAGTGCAAATTTGAACAGATGAAGCAAGATAGAGTCACCAGATACCAGAGTGCTAACGTTTATGTGAAAAATCTTGGTGAGAGTATTGAGGATGAACGCCTCCAGAAAGTTTTCTCCATCTGGTATTGTCACTAGTGCAAATGTTATAATGGAGAGTGGTTGCAGCAAAGGGTTTGGTTTTGTGTGTTTCTCCTCTTCAGAAGCCACCAAAGCAGTTACAGCAATGAACAGTAAAACTGTGCCAGCAAGCCATTGTATGTAGCTTTAGCTAAGAACAAAAAAGAGCGCCTAGCTCACCTCACTTACCAATATATGCAGAAGATGGCAAGTGTATGAGCTGTCCCCTACCCTATAATCAGCTCCTATCAGCCAGCACCTTCTTTAGGTTACTTCGTGGCAGCGGTCCCACAGACTCAGAATCGTGCTGCATACTTCCTCCTGGCCAAATTTCTCAACTAAGACCTCCCTGGGCTGCTCAGAGTGTCACACCTCATCCTCAATTATGACCAAGTCCTCCATGGGCTACTCAGACTGTCAGACCTCACCCATTCCAAAATATGCCTTGTGCTATCTGCTCAGCTGCTCCTGACCACCATTTAGTACTCTGAGACCAGCTTCTTCATAGGTTCCACCAATCATGTCCACACAGTGTGTTGCTAACTCATCAATACAGACAATGTGTCCATGTCCTGAGCTGTTACTGCTGCCTCCATTCCTGCTGTCCACATCATTCCACAGTACAAATATGTTGCAGGAATTTGCAATCTTCAACAACATCTTAATGCACATCCACAGATTACCAGGCAGCAGCCTGCTGTTCATGTCCAAGTTCAGAAATTTTTGACTGCTTCCATGTTGGCATCTGCCCCTCTTCAACAGCAGAAACAGATGTTGGGTGAATGACTGTTACCTCTTATTCAAGCCACGCACCCTACTCGTGCTGGTAAAATTACTCTTGCTGTTGGAGCTTGATCATTCAGAACTTCTTCATATGCTTGAGTCTCCAGAGTCTCTCTGTTGTCATGATGAAGCACACTGTACTACATGCCTACCATGTTAAAGGGGCTTCAAAAAGCAGTTAACAGTGTTACTGGTGTGTCAACTGCTTAAAATTGATCAAGGACCATGGGGGGGAAAAATGTGTTTCAACAGAAAAAAATATCTGAACATCAAAAACTAAAATATTATGGAAAAGATATAAAATATAAACAAAAATAAGGAAAGCAATCTTTGAACCTTATGTGCTGAGCAAATATCAAGCTAGCAAACTCACTAGTTCTAGATTACTTATGATTTGAAAACAACAAAAAAAGAAAACACAAAAATACAGTAAAATTTAAAAACAAATTAATGTTTTACGGACCCGCAGAAAAAGAATTTTCAGAAAAGTACAAAAATTTAAAGCATTCCTTTAGTTTTGTAACTCTTAACTGTGGAATAGGTCAGAATGTCCGTTTTGTTTTAAATAACAGACTTGGAAACTAAGCAAGGTAATGTAACATGGATTATGAAATTCTTGGTTTAATAAAACTTCCTTAAACGGTTAAAAAAAACCTGAATAGGCTAAAAACATTAGGACATTATGCCATGTATCTACACATAAGAGGTGGTTGTGGCCAGGCACTGTTCCTCACAACTGTAATCCCAGCACGTTGGGAGGCCAAGGCGGGCAGATCACAAGGTCAGGAATTCGAGACCAGCTTGGGCAACATAATGAAACCCTGTCTCTACTAACTAAAAATACAAAAGATTAGCCCAGTGTGTTGGTGGGCACTTGTAATCCCAACTACTCAGGAGGCTGAGGCAGGAGAATCACTTGAATTCAGGAGGTGGAGGTTGCAGTGAGCCAAGAGGGCGCCATTGCGCTCCAGCCTGGGCAACAGTATGAGACTCCGTCTTTAAAAAAAAAAAAAAAGGTGGATGTGTATGCATTAATACTAATATGTGAATCAAATAATTAGTCCATTTTTTTCCAAAGTGGTTGCTCATTTAACTTAATTCAACCATTTTGTTTTTCAAACCTAAATGGGAGTATAAACACAATCTGACTCTTAAACAGGTTAAATCTAAACTCTCCACACCTTTATCTAGCAATTCCTGTGTTGTATAACTTTCTTCACTGCCACTTCACAGCTATGATTTTGTAAAGCATTTATTTTTACAGCATTGGGATTTGTAGCTATTAGAATATCAAAGCTATAGGAATATTGCAAATATTGCAAATATAAAAACAAATTGATTTCAAAGGGAAGTTTTTTCCATATTTAAATGCCTGAAAATAAGGCATATAATAAAGATCCTGGTAGACAGTTTACTCTGACAGTCTCACTAAAAATGGCTATAAAATCTGATGGAAACTCTGAAAAATCACCTTTGAGGATGATACAGAATTCATTTTCTTTGTAAACTGACCCTGGAGATGTGTCAAAGATTTGTAGTAACCACAATAGTCAAAGCCATGACTGGGAAACTTCTTGGGCCTGAAATAAAACATTCATTTTAGTGATTCTTATTTAATGTGGTGAGGTGATATAGTCTATCAATTTTTCTTTAGGTATCCCTATTAATATCCACTTCTAAATTTTCAAAAGCATAACTAAACAATGCAAAAAAAAAAAAATTGTGATCCCCAGAGTAGCACAAGGGAACAGCAAAGACCTCTCAGTCATGAAAGAAGGAAACACACGGGTCAATTTTTTTCAATGCTTAAAAAGAATCCATCTCAACCATGTCAATAGTCCATCTGATTAGGTTTTCTCCTAACGTAAGCTAAAGAACAGGTTATTCTCACACCTCAGCAAGGATATAAGGTATTTGAAGATGAGCCCTGTAAGATAAAAATGTCAATAATCATTTCTTGTAGTAAGATGCAGCCTTTTGCAGTCCAATAATTCAATTAGGAAAATGGAGTACACTACTCAGGTTTTTTAAACTTCTTTTGTTACAAGTTTTTAAGAGGTTATTATTCTAGCTTAGCAGTTATTATTACTCAAAAAATACTAAACTTTTTTTGGTTTTGTGATGTATTCTATTAATTTTTACTGAGATTTATTAAGTGTGTATTATCAAAAATGATGCATTCTTTAACCTTTTTTGGAAATCAATAGTAAGATAGTCTGGTAGAACTGTTGCTGTAATATGTAGGCAATTAATTCCTCATAGGGATAAAATATCTTCTAACAATTAGTAGGTATTATATCCCATTACCAATCTTATTTCATTATGACGGTCAAAAGTTTGTTTCCTAGTCAAAAAAAAAAAAAACACTTCATTTATTGGCACTTACGTATTCTGTGTGTTTCAAAGACTTTGGTAGTTGTCTCCTTGTAATATTTCAGCTTTTAAGCTGCTTCCCTGCCTCACTGAGCTCACATAAGATACATCTGAAAGCTTTAGTACAAATTTACTTCAAATAAAGTCTTCAATTCATTTTCATGGCACCAAAAAGACAGCTTTAATAACTGCAATGACAAATAAACTGGAAATCATTCCAGGCCTTTTCACTTAACTGACAAGTAGAACACTCTCATAATGAGCCGCAGGTTTTACGTTTTCTCTTTGACCATAATAGCTTCATTTAAGAGTGTCAGACCCTGACACTTCATCATTTATCTACATTATTTCTCATCTTCTTTCAAATAAATTATGGAATACTAGACTGGGCACATAAAAACAAAGTGACTTGTTATCAGTAAACAGTAAGATAAATTGTCCAGAAGTTCCTCATTTAGTTCCTTTTAAATTTAAGGGCAAGTTATTGGGTGCACCTTTTTTAACTTCCAACGTTTGCATTTTTACAGCCATCTTATTTCTCTTGCCAGTGGCCTCTGTGCACTCATCCACAGCCTGATGTGGAAGGCATAAAGTAATCCCATTATCCCAAGGTTGGCCGCTAAAGTACAAAGAGGCAGAAAGGGAGAAAATCAAATAAACAACTTTGAGAGAGATTTCTCCACATCTATAAAACTCCCCATCCATAATACATCTTGTCATACTAGAAAATGTGACACTTCCAAAGTAATGAACAGTGCAACTGTAACTGTTTTAGCCCTTGGAAATATAGCACTGATTTTAAATGGATGGGTGAATGCTATCTCCTCTCAT